GATGTTTGCTGACCGTTCAGGTACGTATGACACAGGTAGCTCAGAGCTGCTCAATACTCCGGCTCGGAAACACAAAGTTTATATTGAGGTCCTATTATAAAAGAAAGCCGGCAAGAGCTTAGCAAAGCTATAAACTCTTAACAGACCTCAGCAAAGAAAGAACGACAAGAAACCTGGGATATATTTCAGAAGACCATGTGCTAAAAATGTTAGGTTAGATTCTCAATAATAGGGTCGTGGAAGAACGTCCTTCAGCCCAAGCAGTAGTAGATGCTGTGGGGACAGTATAGAGTAAAGATAAGCGGAAAGGGTCGGGGGGAGGGCGCTTTTCCATGCAACTGCAGAAGCCAGTTAACACTTGCATTTAATAAACAGCTAAGAAAATAGGAATAATTAAATCAGTGCAGATAACGGGATGGCCACGGGGACCATTATCAGCTGGATTGCAAAAATATAGACACTATTGGTTCTCAACAACGTTTTGAGCATATTGGGATCCTGACACGTGAAATGTACGTGTTATGGTATTTGAACTCGTGTGTAACATTCATTGTTTATCTAGCCTATGTAATAATCATGTAATCGCTACTGTGAATCAAGTGACATTGTAACTACAATTCGATTTACATTCGGGTGTACTCTGAGTCTACTCTTGGATGTACACTTGGATTTATCTCAAGAAGAGGAATAAAGGTACGTTGAAGTGAAGTTCTGTGTGAGTCCTTGGTCTGTCAGAATTCCTGTTGGCGCAGATCCTGGTATCCAGAAATTAGTGACGGACTTCTCCCCTCGAGCTAGCCAAGCGAGTTGCTCAGAGTTAGTTCCCCAAGTTGTGTTCATTTACCGTTGCCCAGTTCCGTTTACATTTTATGTTTCCACGAGGTAAAAGTTGAACGTCACACAATCTACAATTACGATATTAACGGATAACCTGTGTCACAGACAGTTTACACCAATGGTATAGGCTATATCACACGAAAACGACAACAAAACATAGCATATCTTTAGGAGGCCGCGGAGTACTGGGGGAAGGAGCTAGAACGCTGGCGTAAGCGAACGGCCAAAAGAAGGAAATCTATTTGTATGGTGTGATTTTCCGGGTGTGGGCAATCCTCAAAAGAGCTGTTGTCTCCAAATAAAAAACTGACGGGACCTGGAAGGTGAGTATCAACTAGAAATTCAGACTAAATTTAGACCCGTTTTCTTGGCTCTCAATTCACTTCTAAGAATTAAAGAATCTATAACCTAGAGGACAAGATTACTGAATTCTCATTGGCCGAGACAGAATACCATCAACATTATGATAGAGAAAATAAACCCCGACAATAAAAAGACCGTGGTGAGAAATCTTAAACGTTCCGTTGCGTGATTTCAAGTACAATTTTGTCGCTGAGTTCCAAAATTAATCCAACAATTCTCTTGATTTACTTATGCACCCAAAGTCATTCACATTTTTTTTACAATAAAAATCACCAAGCGTCAGCGGAGGAGGTAAAAGCTAAGCGTGGTTCATACAAACTCTTCTTTCAGTCTGACTCCGGGCTCATCTCTTGACGTATTATAAAGAAGTATATCAAACACGAAAGACCGTATTTCCCCACATTTCCAATCACCAAGAAAAGAGTTGAAAATACGGCGTGTAGCGGAGAATTTTTGACGAGCACCGAGGTGTTTGGAAATGTGGTCAAACCCTGTCTTGAGTGCTTTTAGATACATCTTCTCAATCGAAACTAAAAGTAAGGAGAAAAGGGAGAAATAAAATCGTAAAAATCTATGCTAATTGAGAACAGATATCCAAACACCGTCACGGTCATGATTTCCTTTGTTTAAACTCGGTGAATTATTTTGAGTTTGAGAAAAACATTTAAAACGCTTAACTTGTTTCGTTAATAGACCTTTTTAGCTTGTGGGGTTTTTTGCCCCATTTCAGACAATGTGATGATACTCTTGAAAATTCCTGCTCTCAAATTTTCAAATAATCACGTGTTAATGAATGAATAATTTTTAGATGGGTAAAAGAACAATTCCCCAGAGAATATCAAGTGGTCTGTAATGGGAAACAAACCGCCCGAGCTAAAAAGATATGGAGCGAATTAGGTTTTTCAGCAAGTGTTGGTGTCATTCAGTTTGTCTGCCCGTTACAGTTCATTGACGCTTACCTAACACTGAAATGGTTTCCCAACATATCAGAGCGCGTTTTTGCCTTTCGAATGAAGGACTTTATTTCCTCTCTGTCGTATATAAGCAAGTTAACGTAGGGTTCCTCGTCACATTAAGGATAAATATAGCCTACGAGCAGGCTCTTCGCGTGGCAACTGAACGAAACTTGCTCGCAGACTAGTATAACTGTAAATGCTACCGCATTGAGTTGAACAGCGGTATTGCGCACTAGGCGCCAGTTTTCCCTCGATGTAGAGTCACGTGACAAAAAAGGCACATGAGTTTTGCTGTTCCGAACAAGGTCGAATCTCGGCAGTTTGTAAATGTACTATTTTCGCCTCGGTTCTTTCGTCAAAGATTGTGATAATTCTGAAACACACGCCGGAAGTCTTAAGGCAAGGAAGGTACAGAAGACTTGTGTATCAGATGTAGCGAAATTAAAGATA